CTGGCCCAGGGCCCTCCCACCCTAACAGAACCTCCTCCCAGCTGTATTTCGCTCCTGCTCTCCTGCCCACGGTCCCTTCTCAACTCTGCAGCGAGAGCTCTTTGCAAAAGTGAACTCCAGGTCATTTTAGCTGTGAGGTGCCCACCCCCCACCTGCAGGGAAGTAGCCAGAATCCAGCCGCCCCCCATCTCCAGCCGCCTCAGTCCTTGGTCCCCACGCATGGCCACTGGCTTCGCTGTTCTTTGTTCTTTCTGGGTGAGTCACTGCCCAGGCACCCAAGGCAGGGGCTTGCCCTGTGTCCCACCCTGTCGCCAGCACAGCCCAGGAGAGATGAAGTGAAGTGTTGTGCTTTTGTTTTCAGGGGGTTGAAACTCTGACAGGGTTTTCAGGTGAAGAAAACAAGGGCAGAAGAGAGAAATGTCAGCAAGAGGGTGTTGGGGGGAGCTGAGCCCAGTAGGCGAGGATGGGGGACCATCCCCCCAGATCGCTCATATCCCTTGTTTTGATTTCATGAGACTGGCAACAAAAGCCAGTCATTTGTTAAGCCACAGACAGGCCACACATGTCCCACATGGTCAGATTTTGACTTTAAGGCCAATTCTGATCTGTCGATGAGAAGGCAAAACTCAAAGGCTCAGAGCCAGCACGGGCCGGGCTCCCGGGGCCCCCACTCTTCTCGTCCAGGCAGCGCAGTGCTAACAGGCGCCTCGACGTTGCTGCTGCGAGTGAGCTGACCATGCCCCTGGGCGAGGAGCACAAATGACAACCAGGCTGGAGGACTCTGGGGCAAAGGGACAAAGGGGTGTCCAGCAGCCGTTTCTGCAGGTGCCGAGTGCTCGGGGGCCCCGTGTGGGGCCCTGACCAGAGATCCAGCAGAGGCGCTGGAAGACTCGGAAGCAAGAACAGGTTTATTCAGATCCATGGCCAGTTACAAGTTTTGTTTGATTTTTGGTCATAGGCTCCCAAATGCCATTACTCTGAGTGTACATTGAAGTACAAAGTCCAAAGTTTACAATTTGAAAAATGTTACAAAAAAAACTAAAAACCCTACATAGCAAAAACAAAGGCTGGTTTAAAACTCACCATTGAGGTGCCATTCTCCCTGCTGTCACCTGCAGGATGACTCTGTAGGTGTGTGACACCCTGTGGGGATTTATTGTAAGACAGTGAACATGTAATTGTTGTACGTTTGGAACACTAAGGGTTATCAAAAGGTCACTGTCTTTTTGCACTTGATTTTATTGAAGATACAAACAAGACTTTTGACCATCTTCGGTTGTAGAACAGAAGTTGGTACGATCCAACCCATGGACCTTGCAGTGTCCCCCATGCCTGAGGACCAGCGCCTGTCTGTGATGAGGTATGGCGGGCAGTGACGCTGGGCCCTGGGTCACCTGCTCATGGCCTGTGCTCCGAGAGGATCCTCGGCTCCTCCAGGGTGGAATTCTATGGCCCAGTCTTGGAACGGCTGGGAGAACATGAAGACAGACCCGCACTTTGCCAAATGTGGTGGCGAAATTTAGCTTTGTATTAGGAATCAGAGGAGTGCCACCCTCTAGTTTTCTCAGGACTCCCTTTTAGAAACTTCGATCCTTCCCCGGAGAAGATGGAGCCACCATCGCGGCACCACATGGGGGGAGGAGGCATCGAAACCCACTCTGCCCACCTCAGGGACAGCCAGAGGGGAGGGGGCTGCCCTCCAGGGCCAGGGAGGACAGGCCGGAGCTGGCACACTAGCTCCTCAGCTTTGCACAGGAAACTACTAAAACGGTTACTGAAAAAAGGACTCGTGCTCAGCTGCAGGTCCTCGGGCTGAGAGGGAGGGGCTGGCAGCTGGGCTGTCACACGGCACAGCTCACATGCCCTGTGCTGCCACCCCCTTCCTTGCCACGCCTCGACTGCTTTCCCTTCTCAGTTCAGTTTCTTCTGGATGACTCCAGTTTTCCTCCAGGAAAACACCCACTAGCAGCCCAAAGATGACCAGGTTCTAGCTTGGAAGTGGCCTCCCAGGCAAACTCCCCAGTCTGCTGCGGGGACAGCGGCCAACCCGTCAGAGCGGATGCAGCTTGCCCCACTCGGTCAGCACCGTCATGGCCATGGAGTGGAGGACGTAGCCCAGGACAAGGAGCAGGGCACAGGGCAGGGCCCCGACACAGAACAAAGAGGCCACAAAGGCCAGCAGGAGTGAGAGCAGCGTCCAGTAGCTGCCCAGGAAGCACAGGCTGAGCCTGGGGCCCCGGGCCTGGCTGGCCGCCTGCCTCCAACCCACGGGGCTCAGACGGTGCCTGTCAGCCAGTGCCAGCTCCGTGACGTGGCAGCCACAAAAGCTACCAAGGAAGTCGTTGCAGGAGCACAGAGCTACCATCTGACCTGCAAAGTGAAGCACAGACAGAGGCACAGGTGGGGTGGGGACGGTAGGTGCCACCTCACAGGCCACCCCAGGGCTCAGGACAAACCTTCCCCAGGGCTACTCTCCACCCAGACTTGCCCCAGGCTTTCAGATGGAACGGGAGTGCTGAGGCGAGGGGCTGCTGGGCAGGACCGTCCTCTGGAACCCATTTCTGGAAGAGGCCAGTCCAGCCCTTCTGCCCACTCATTCTGCGGTTGATGGCGGACGACAGCCGGAAGAGAGCACGGACCAGGCAGGTGATCTCATAGCTCCGGATGGGCTGCAGCTCTGAGTCCCGCTGGGACTCGATTTCAAACCTTCGCAGCCCGTGGATGATCTAGGGACTGAGACCACAGTGATAGGTCAGAAAAATACATCCTTGTAACAACCCAGAGGAGCCCTCTCTGCTCACTGGGGCCTGGGAAGTTGAGTCCGGGTCAGAAGGCCCAGCCGGACGCCTCCAAGACACAGTCCCTCACCTGGTACCGGCCCGGGGGCGTGAGGGTAAGTCCATCCTCAGCCACGATGCAGTCTGGGAGCTGCTTCTTTCCATTCTCGTCCTGAGTGGTCCCCAAGGCAGCTGTGAGCTGGGTGAGCTGGGCCTTGCTGAGCCGTTAGAGAAACGCCTCTGCTTCCAATTTCAACACGAGAGGAAGGGCCTGGTCTTCACCCCACTGGCCTCTAATAGTGATGGTGAGGGGCCCCAAACCCGACACTCCAGGAGCGAGCCTGCCCCCCACAGCTCTGGGTCCATCTGTCTGGGGCCTGGCATGGGCTAGGCAGGGAGTGGATCCCTCAGGGAAGGGGACCCCGATGGCCCTTGGGCAGGCCCCACTGCTCGTACCCCAAATATCTGGCACAGGTACTCCAGCGCCTTCTCCAGGTACTCATCTGTCTTCCAGATGCTGTCCTGCCCCATCTCGTCCAGGTCATTGTCTGGGTAGGGGCAGTTGGTGTCCCTGGGGCTGAAGACCACCTGTGACAGGAAGGAGGAGCCACCTGGGCTCTCCACGCACTGGTCAGAGACGGACTTGGCAGTCTGCTTGGCCTGTGTGATGAGCCGAGCGAGGTGCAGGACCTGCGGGGGCACGGGCAGGTCAGTGACTGACTTGGCGCTGCTGCACCCCGCCACAGACGGGACCCGGGTATGCTGCCGCCCATGCAGCATGGCCCCAGGGGCCCCAAGAGGTGTGCGAGCAACCAGGAGGAGTGGCTTCTAAGTGAGGCCTTTTTTAAATTTTATTTTTAATTAATTAATTTATTTTTTGAAGAGATAGGGTCTCTCTCTGTGACCCAGGCTCGAGTGCAGTGGTGCGATCATAGCTCACTGCAGCCTCCAACTCCTGGGCTCAGGGAATCCTTCCGCTTCAGCCTCCCATTTCCCAACAAACGCTGCCTTCATTGCCAGAAAGAAATTAGATTTTACTGGAAATAAAAAGGGGGGTGTGCAGTAGCATCAACTCAGCACTCAGCCTTCCTCTCCTCTGCCCTGAAATGTGGGCGCCATCCCCGGTTCTGCTGGTCCCTATAGCCTCAGGGACCCCGAGCTCAGCACTGCTGACCAACTCACCAGGGTGCGGACTTCGAGCCCGAACATCGGTGTGTACTTGCAGTCCTGGCTCTCCAGGCTGTAGACCTGGCTCTTCACCTTGAAGGAGGCATCGGTGACCACCAGTGGCCTGACTGGGGCCTGCTGAGCAGGTCACTCATGCAGGGCTGAGGTGAGGTGCACACAGGAGCCACACTGGCTTGGCCACCTACGTGCTGTGTGTCCTTGGGATGTTCCTTACCCTCTCTGACGTTGGTTTCCCTAGCCTGAGGGCCGAGCGGCTGGTGGCCCTGTGGCTGGGCTCTGGGCTTCAAGTCAAATCCTCCAGTGGCCTGGATCCAAGCAGTGTGGCTGCAGATGACAAACGCCATGGCAGCCCCTAGTAGGGCGTCAAGCACGGCCACCTTACAAAATGACTGCGGAAAAACAATGATGAAATCTCAACATCTGCCACACAAAAGAATGTACTTTCATATGCCCTGGAGAATGTTTGTGTAACTCGACACACACTGCACTGCCAATTCCCATGCTTTAGTGTGGACACCACACCTGAGTATTTTTTTTTTAAGATAGGGGCTTACTACGTTGCTCAGGCTGGTCTTGAACTCCTGAGCTCAAGCGATCTTCCTGCTTCAGCCTCCCAGGGTGCGTGAGTCACCACTCCCAGCCTTAAAGTTTCCTTTTTTCTGCACAATGATAGCCATGTGAGTAATAAATAAATAAATAAATAAGATAAAGTTTCTTTTTCTCTTTGTACAGAATCAGGGGCCCATAAAAAATAAATAAAAAATTTAAAAAATCAGTTTCTTTTTCTCCGCTGAGCTATCCTATTTTTTCATTTATCATGAGAATCTTTTCCTTTATGTCTTTGACCAGAGTTATAATAGTTGCTTTAAAAATCTCTGTCTGCTGCATCTATGAAACACTTACATCTAGCATCATGCTTAATGCTCAAAGGCTGAGTTGTTACAATGTCTGATTTCACCATTTTTATTCAATATTACACTGGAAGTTAAGGTGTCTCAATAAGTCAAGAAAAAAGTAAAAGTCATAAAGGGTAAAGGAAGAAGTAAAACTGCTAGGATGATATTTTCAGATAATATGATTATTTACGATATTTTCAGATGAGATGATTATGCATAGAAAACTCCACTGTATCTACAAAAACAAATTATATACGTCTATAAGTTAATGCATGAAATTAGCAAGGGTAAATTGTGTCCTGCCCCCCAAAAAAGATACATTGAAGTCTTAACCCCTAGTACCTGAGAATGTGACCTACTTGGAAATAGGATCGTTGCAGGTGGAATTAGCTAAGATGAGGTCACGCTAGAATACTGTGTGCCTCTGACCCCATACGACCGGGGTCCTTATCAGAACGGGACTGTTTAAGACACACACATGAGGAGAATGCTGATGGGACACGAAACAGAAATCAGAGTGATGCGGCGACAAGCTAAGGACGGCCAAAGGTGCTGCACACCACCAGAAGCCAGGGAGAGGCAGGCACGGATTCCCCTTCAGGACTCAGAGGGGGGTGTGGCCGTGCTGACACCTCCGTTTTAGACTTCTAGCCCCCAGAACTGAGGCAATACATTTCTGTTGTTTTAAGCCACCCAGTTTGTGGTATTTTGTTACAGCAGCCTTAGGAAACTAAAATGGTCACAATAGAAATTCAATATACAAACATTGATTGTATTTGTATATACTAGCAACAAACAATTGGAAAATTAAAGTTTTTAAAATTCCATTTACAATAGCATCAGAAAAATTAAGTACTTAGGAATAAGTCTTTTTTTTTTTTTGAGACAGAGTCTCACTTTGTTGCCCGGGCTAGAGTGCTGTGCCGTGGCATCAGCCTAGCTCACAGCAACCTCAGACTCCTGGGCTCAAGCGATCCTCCTGCCTCAGCCTCCCGAGTAGCTGGGACTATAGGCGCTACCACCACGTGTGGCTAATTTTTCTATTTTTAGTAGAGACAGGGTCTTGCTCTTGCTCAGGCTGGTCTAGAACTCCTGGGCTCAAGCGATCCTCCCGCCTCGGCCTCCCAGAGTGCTGGGACTACAGGCGTGAGCCACAGCGCCCGGCTGCAAATCTTCATTTAATTCATTATCTGGTTCCTGCAAAGACCAATGAATCATACAATCCCCCTTCATGATAAAATGCGCCACAACCCAAGACCAGGAGGGAACTTCCTCAGCTCGATATGAGCATCCACAGAAACCCACAGCTGTCATCGCACTTAATGATGAAGACACAAGCAACCAAAGAAAAAATTAATAAATTGGACTTATTCGAAATTTTAAGATTTTTTTTCTTCA